ATTTTGTTGTTTCTTTGAAAAGTATCCAATATCGGCCAAGTAAAGCTGATCAGCTGATAATTCGGTCTATTTCTAGTTGATTATACGGTCCTCAAAAAAGGAAATGCGTTAGAGAAATTAATCATTTGCATTTTTTCCCTCATAGTGTAGGAAGTATTTGTTTTCCGTGCAGTAAATTTGTTGTGGAGCAGTGATGCATTTGTCCTTGTGATATATTTCTCTGTGCATCTGTGCTGTCCTCGTATTAAATTAGCATAACCTTATTAATGGCTTCGGGGATCAGGTATGTAGCTGAGGTAGGTCATAAGCAACTGTGTGGTTTTACCTCACACCAGATTACTGTGGAGCAGGACTGTGTTGAGTATGTCAAAGGTTCAGATCAACTGTGGAACTCAGCATCAAACCATGTGTTCAACTAATTCCAAATGTGTCACTTTCTACAAATTTCTTTGCATGCTCATATAAAACGAGTTGAACATTTTCCTGTGAGAAAAGGCTCAAATTTGGCTTCTTTAAACAAAAAGATTGAAAGGAAACATAAAAATGCAAAACCATGTTTGTTAGTGTTCGTCTATGCAGCACGTTTCGTCTCAACGTTTTCTTGCTGAGCTGATGATTAGCAGACGACCTTTTAACACGGAGGGCTCAGTTCTCATTTTGACGAGCACTGACGCTTGATGCCAGCGTCCTCTCTGCACGACCAGCGTTTCACCTCAAACGTTGATCAATCCGACACGTGTTGATATGGGAGCTTTGCGCCCTGACCCCAAAAACAATCCTCCATGGAGTCGCAACACGTTGACTGACATGAGTAGGTATTGCTTTAATGAAGAGGTTGATTATAGAAAACAAGTCTTCTTGTATTTGTGTTCTGCTCTCTATGTTGTAAATTGCCAATTTAGTGTTGTGGATATCTGTGAAATAAAGGTGGCTTACTGCTATCAAGAAAAGCCACTCTGTGTAAAGCCAGGAGCTCATTGATTGATGAATGGCTCAGCAGACGTGGAAATAAATGGATATAGAGAGCAAACAGACATTGGTCCTCTATCTTGGGAAGTGCAGAGTATCAAATGGTGAATGTGGGACCACAGTGTACTGTCTCTTCTTCTAGAGTTCATATCTTTACTACACGGTTTAGAAAAGACTAAATAAAAATGGTTATTTTTGCAGCCAAAAGCTCTCAGATGGTGGAATGTGACCTTTGGCATCACTTCCAACCATGTCAGCTGCTAATCTGACAATGCTGTCTAACTAAAAATGGCTGCTTCCGATCTGACATGTGTGGATAAATGAGTTAGTTGCCTTTAGTGTGTGATAAAGTAAACAAAATAGTGTGAAAAGAAATTATGTGTTGTTTATTTTACAAATATTTGCTAAAACAGTAGGAACAAATTTGTTGGCACCCTTAAAGAGACTATTTTATCTTAGCATTGTAGTCATGTCTCAAACTAAGGTTTTGACAGTAATTAGTATCACAAGTGCCTTCAAGCTTTTTATCAGCCACCCAGCCTATTTAAAGAGAACAAACATGCCACTGTGCTGTTTAGTATTTGTGTGTGTCCCACACTGAACATGAAGAGAAAGCACATGCAAGAGCTGTTTTAGGAGCTCAGAACAAAGATAACAGAGATCCAAGGCTTAAAGGTTACAAGACCATCTCCAAGTAGTTCAATAAATTCCTGATCACAGCAGCCAATATTAATAAAAAGTATAAAATTTATAGGACTGTAGCCTACTTCCCAGGTTGGGGACGCAAGAAGCAATGCAACCCCAGGTTGATTAGATGGGTAGAGCGGTTGGTATAAATAGAGCCAAAGAACCTAGCCAGAAACAACCAAGCTGAACCTTGTGGTTAGGGTACGTCACTTTCTGATTGTACAATTTGTCACATTTTGAATAATAATGGGATTAATGGAAAAAAGGCCAAGGAAGGTTTTATTATCGACAGTAAAACACAGTAAAGACTTTATCAAAATGCATGTTGACAAGAACTTTTCTTTTGCTCTCGCTCCCATTCAAGGCGGATGCTTTCTCCTCTCCCTCCCCTGTTCTCCTCTTCCGCCTGCTTCATTGCTTTCTGTGTGTGTTTGAAGCTCGTGGTACACATCTTCTGAACAAAAAATACTATTATGATTTGGTGAGCTGGACTTTCAATGCAATCAACAAAATATTTTCAAGAAAACGACAGCATCCTGGAGAACCCTCTTCTTGTCTTGCTGAGACTCATGCTGCGGGGTACAGCAGGGATCCGTGTGGAGTTTGGCAGCTGATGTGTCTTTCAGTTCTGTCTCAGGAGGACGCTGAAGATGTTTATATAATTGGATTCATGATAGCAGGGTCTCTGCTTTTTGGCATCGGTGGGTCCCTATGTTACCAACTTTTGAAGAAGACATCGGCAGCAGTTTCGGCCACGACAAAACTGCTAAGTGTGTGAAGGTTTGGTTTGTGCTATGAGTACTCAAAATCAGCTGATTTACGGGCTAAACCGTAAAATGGAAGCAATGTGTGAGGATTTCAGGCCACCTGCGGCTTCTAGGACTCGCCAGCATGTTGGAGTCGACCTTGAAGAAGGCTCATAGCACGGATCAGTGGAATGACCATAAATCTGGCCATTTTGGACTGGGAAAGTTCCAGCAGGACTCAAGGCTGACAAGAAAAAACAGTCTGCCTGAAGAAAATCAACAATTGTGACTTATCTGAATCTGAGTCCCCCGTTTGGCCTCGGATGCAGGCTATCAAATTTCTCCTGGAACATGGGTAAAGTAAGGAAAAAGCCTTGTCTATCACAACACCCCCACCCGAGAACTTCTGTGCTGGCTTATCAGGACTGCCGGCTGAACACCAACATCTTATCAGGACTATGGTCTATCTGAAAGTGCTTCATGGACAAATCTCAACATCTTGACATCAAATGCATATGTAATGTGTTTATAAATGTGCTTGTTGGTAGAGTTGTTTGATGTCTCATATCGTGTCCGGGTAAGACAAGATGTGAAGAGATCTTTTTTGTAATCCCACTCATTCTTATGGCCTTTTACCTTTTTGGATCTTAAAAAGTATTCTGATGAAGAATAAGAGACTCTTGTAGCAGCAGCAACGTGCACTCCGCCCATCTTTCAGAAGACTGTACGAACATAATCTCACTGTATCCTGGTACATTGATAATAAAACTTATTCTGATTCTGACCAAAGTTTTTGGGACTGACGAGACAAACTGAGGCTTTTTGGCTCCAGTCACATCTGTTGTTTTTGGATTATTGTGGAAACGTACAGATTCATCTCTGTCTGTAACTCTTTTAACGAGCTGCGGCAGTTGGGGAAGTAAAACTAGAGGAAAAGAAGTCAATGGTTATAAACAAACACTCAAACAATCTTGAACTAAATGAGTGGCCAGAACAAGCTTGGGGAATTTGTCAATTTCAGGAGGAGATCAGCTCATTTGTTTACCCAGCAGCCGGTGTCTGATCTAAGTAAACTTACATCAGTCTCCGTGGGAGGCAGAGAGCACACAGTGGTGGAGATCAGTTTGGAGAAATAATAATGAGCAGAAGTGTTTCTTTCTTTTTTTTTTTTTTTTTTGTAACCTGTAAGTAAAAGGGGTCTCTAGTTTAGGTGGCAATTTGTTTTGTGAAACAGATGTTTGCATCAGTGCTGCAGAAGTTCTTATCCAGCTGATTATGTGGTGGCCTCTATATAAGAACATATTCAAAATACCACAGTCAATCAACAACTTCTTCGTTGGTATTTTTTAAAGGTTTTTGGTTTGAACTTTTCCAGCAGAGTCTTAACTTGTTCTCAACCTGTCTAAAACAAATGAACTTAAAGTTGTTTTATCTTTTGAAGGAATGCATGTGCCTCACCATCTTTGGTGCCATAGTTTAAGGCTGAGATCATCTTAGAATGAGGAATGACAGAGTTGTAGACTTTCTGGTCATGAAAATAAAATGCCGTGTGCTCTACTGTGTAACTGCCAGAAGTCACACGCTGTGCGCATGTTGTGAATGACTCAGCTACTACCACATCAACTTTTATCTCAGTATATGTAAATCTGAGCCTTATTTGTTTATTTTAGGATGAATTGACTGTTGCAGCCATCTTGAATCAGGCTGACCACAGACCAGTTGTAAATGTATATCTAATGGTTGCCCTTTTGTCTTATGGTTCCTAAGATATTTTTGAACAGACATGTGCATGAACACACACAGACATGGGCACGGCAATATTGCATTTTTTGCCTTCAGCAGTGGGTGCTAAATATTATTAGCATTGTACCTCCAGCTATTGCAGCCATGCATGTAATCTTTTCATCTCACCTTAATCCAGCCTTTTTCCCTCATCTGCTATCATGTCATGGTTTTAATTATAAAACCAAACAGTGCTTCAGTATTATCTGCATCAGTAAATGTAAGATGTTGTTTCTGCTTTTGAGAAAATTGTATTGTTACTAGAGAGCAAGGACAGAATATACTAGAAGCCTGGTGCTCTAATGCCAAAGTTGAGGCCTGCCATGTTTAGACATTTTCCAACAGCTTGAAAGCATTCAAACAAACAAATGTTCACATCATAAAAACCATCAAACTGTGTGACCTTAGATCAGCTGTACTTTAGCTCTTGAGGCAAACAAACTATCTGTCCCGGGCAAACTTGGGAGAAGAATAATACAAAATCACTTCAAAACAAGTAAATAAATAAGGGGGGAGTGGTGGCGCAGAGGTTATAGAAGATGGACCTGTGATCGGAAAGTCGCAGGTTCAACTCCCGGTACCATCAACATCAAAATGTGGGTAGAAAAGGTGAAACACCCACACCTGCCTCCACCCTCATTTGCCCCACTCGGGGCCCTTAACCCCTAAACAGGTCTCTCTTGAAAATGAGTTGTCGTGACTCAATGAGACTACCTGTATAAATAAAGAGTAAATGAAAAAAAGTGCACTTTTCGTCTTTTTTAAATACTATTTGTTTACATTTTTTTTTAACCTTTTTTCTCTTTTTACTTTCAGACGCCGTCTTTCAGAACCATTCTCGTCTGCGGACGCCTCCTCTCCCTCTCTCCCACTCTCACTCCCCCAACCATCAGCACCATGCGGCCTCTGTTAACTCGCTGAACAGGAGCAACTACACTTCACGGAGCAACCCGAGTCCTGCGCCCACAGACAGCTCCGCTCCCCCCGAGGGTCCGGCCAGCGCTCAAGACTCTGGCAGCGCTCAGGACAACTGGCTGCTCAACAGCAACATCCCTCTGGAAACAAGGTGCTGTTGAGCCCGTCTCCTAAACATTGTTGGCATCTTTGAGAATGAGTGGACGCTACTGCCAGTGAACTCAGCTTTTCATGTTGCCTGCTCCATATTATTTCACCACAGGGCTACCAAAGAGCAAAGCAACAAAATGAAAGAAGAAAAATAAAAATCCCGCTTGCAGTAAAAGCCTAACTTTGTGATGAACATGAGCTCCGTGGCAAACAAGAGAAAAGAGCTGATTTTGGTTGTCCGCTTAATATTAGCAATCTAACAGAGGAAGTTGATGAGTTTAAACAGCAGTGTAATTATAATCACGTTAGAAAAAGCAAAATTACATCCAGGCTCCCATGTGCAGGCTTCATAGCTCCTCCACTTCAGCCCTGAGCTCTATTTATTTCATATTAATCAACATTCACTTCTCCAGCACATTTCTCAATAGGAGGCTCTTGTGTGAAGTAGGATTGTCAAGTATTATTGTAATGAAGGGAATGCCTGGTAGAGGTTTTTTTTTTTTTTTTCAGCTGGTTTTCCTGGATGGCAGTTTAAAATCAAGCTCACCAGGACATAAATAGTTTCTTTGTTTTAATGATCCTCACTGATAGTTGCTGAAAATGTTAAAAGCCAAAAAAAAAAAAAAAAAAAAGAAGCCAAGTTACCACAGGCTACCAGAAGAACATCCATCCATCCATTATCTTTACCCACTTATTCCATTTTGGGTCACGGGGGTCGCTGGTGCCCATGTCCAGCAATCACTGTGCGAGGGGCGGGGTACACCCTGGACGGGTCGCAAGTCCTTCACAGGGCCACATAGAGACAAACGAGACAAACAACCATTCACTCTCTCATTCACACCTAGGGACAATTTAGAGTTATCAATCAGCCTAACATGCATGTTTTTGGTCTGTGGGAGGAAACCGGAGCACCCGGAGAAAACCCACGCATGCACGGAGAGAACTTGCAAACTCCACCCAGAAAGGTCCCTGGACCGGGGTTTGAACCAAGGACCTGCTCGCTGAGAGGCAGCAGCTCTACCAGTTGCGCCACCGTGCTGCTCCACCAGAAGAACATTTATTTGAGCATTTGTAAAAACTTGTTTTTTATCTGATTTATAAATGAATGGTAAAACAACGTCACATTAGCCCTGTGATGGACTTGTGACCCGTCCAGGGTGTACCCCGCCCCTCGCATCATGCCTGCTGGATATGGGCACCAGTGACCCCTGTGACCCAAAAAGGAAGAAGTGAGTAACAGCTAATGGATAGATGGGTATTCATTAGGGTTGAACGACTACGTATTTGTAAAAGTCGACTTCAACGTGATAAAAGTCGAGTTGACGTTGACTAATCGATGTGACGTCATAGGAACTTAAGACGCTTTATCATATTCACAAAAAAAAGTAATTTATTATTTACAACAACAAAAAAAAACAACAAAGAACAAAACATCGTGAGCATATATTTATGCTCGTACCATTTATCATACTGCAAATAAGTCACAGGAAAACCAAAATTATTATTAAGCTGCAACAGTTAGTTTTATTTTATTTAATCCACTAAATAAAATAAACAGCTGCGGTGGTGGATTCTCCTCTGGCGGTGGTGCACCCCCCCCTGTTTTGACTTTTATTTTATTTAGTGGATTAAATAAAAGCGGGCAGCATGGTGGCACAACTGGTAGAGCTGCTGCCTCTCAGCGCGCAGCTCCCTGGTTCAAATCCCGGTCCGGGGGCATTTCTGGGTGGAGTTTGCATGTTGTCTCCGTGCATTATAAAGCACTTTATAAACAACATTGTTGGCCAATGGGCTGTACACAGATAACACATAAAAGCAAACATATATAAACTATAAAATGAACTGAAACCGTACAAGTAATGAACTATTAAAATCATAAAAACAGTAAAAACAATAAAATAAATAAATCAAAAACATTCAAATTAACATTTCAATCTGAGTTAAAAGCCAAAGAGAGAGAGAAAAAAGTGTTTTCAGAGAGGATTTAAAAACAGGAAGTGAGTCAGCTTGTCTGACGCACAATGGCAGCTCGTCTCACCTGTCAACCTCCTGCTGGACTTTAGAACGACCAACAGCAGCTGATCTGCTGACCTGAGAGAGCGTGAGGGAACGTACAGCTGGAGCAGGTCGGACATAAACTGTGGGGTGAGACCATGAAGACATTTGAAAACAAATAAAAGAACCTTCAAATTAATCCGGAAACGAACTCGGAGCCACTGTAGTGGTTTTAAAACAGGAGTGATGTGCTCTCGTTTTCTGGTTCCAGTAAAAAGGCGAGCAGCAGCATTCAGAACCAGCTGAAGTCGAGTCAGTATTGACTGGCTCAGGTGGCTATAAAGTGCATTACAGTAGTCTAGATGAGTTGTAATAAAAGCATAGATTAAAATCTCATAATGATGTCGTGACAGACATGGTTTGACCTTGGCCAGTTGTCTCAAAAGATAAAAGCTGGACTTGATCATTGATTTAATCAGTGCATCAAGTTTAAAACCCTTGCCTTACACCCAGGTTATTTGCTGTCTCGGTCAGATGTTTGGTGAAAGGACCCAGATCATCATGGATTTTGGAACCATCGCTGGACTTAAACAACAACACCTCGGTCTTTAGCTCATTAAAAAGTAAATGATTCTGTGACATCCATGCTCTGACTTCTGCCATACATTCCAGGAGTTAGTTCACAGAGTACTGTTTGTCTTGTTTTAATGGAACATAAATTTGGCTGTCATCAACATAAAAATGAAAAGTAACACCATGTTTCCAGAGAATACATTTACAACAACAGCTTATTCTTCTTTCTAACAAACCTATACACCCAAATAAACTATTGCTAAACAGCTTATATGTAGCCATACACAATAATTAAATTTAAAAAATGAAAAATTAATTACAGCCGCAGAGACACATATGCAGTGCTTCCATGTTGTCATGGAAACAAGTAAACAAAACTTCTGCCTTAGTTATTAAAGCTTATTAATGTGTACTTTTTTGTGAATAATGGTGTGAAACTGTTAAAATGCATTCAATATATGTGCAATTATCCTTAGTCTAATGATTGTTTAGAACCAGGTTGAAGATAATTTAATTTGCTTTAAATTACTTTTGTGATAACTGAATAACTGTTACTGAGCTGTAGCAGTTTTAAAGATTTTAAAGCTCTAAATAAATACGACATGTTAAACAGAAGACGTATGTCCAAGAAATGAAGTCACTAAATCAAACAAATATTCTTCCGACACTGATTTGTTATGGTTTCTGTCAATATAAGTTATGAGCCATTGAAATAATGAAACGAGATCTATTTTTACTATGAGACCCCTTTAGATTTTATATAAATATTACTGTTGTTATCTACAAAAAAACTAAATATTTGAGTTTGAGTAGAATAACAAAAAAAAATCTGAGATTTCACTGAGGCTTGGATGTCACATGTAAGGCAAGGTGGCTAATCATTTTTCTTTAGAGAACTGGTCACCTCTCTCCACCTCTCCATTGTTGAGGTACCCTTCCCACTCGTCTGGGTTTAATGGACTGGATCGTTGTTGGGCTGATGAGTGGGAAGCACAATTTCTGAAAGCCATAAATGCATTATATTGCAATATAAATGATGAATATGCTTTATTTTTTATATTGCTTAAAGTTGTTATTATTATTATTTTTTTATAGTTTTTTCTTGTCTTTCCCCCCCCACCCCCCACACACACACACACAAAAAAAATGGGGGGATTCAGATCCCCCATACCCCAGAAAATTTTCCGCCCAAGCTTCTCTCCCTACCATTTATGATCCAATCTGCTGGAGTACACATTTTAAATGAAAATAGGCAGAATTGGATCAAACTTTCAATATATTTCCAATAATAGTTTTTTTAAGTTAGATATTCACACCTGGACATTAGCCTTGGATGTTTTCTGTCAGAAGAGAGCTTCTGGGCAGGTATCAAAATGCAGCTCTGGTGCTCTTTACATGGGTTTGAGATGCCCACTACATTATTTATGTCCAAGAAACACATTATATATATACCGTATATTTCACCATATAAGTCGTTTTTTGTATAATTTGCATGCCCTGCGACTTATACACAGAAGTGACATATTTATGGATCTTTTTCCATATTTATAAACCGATTTTTGGTTGAGATATGACCATTTTCATTCATTCTGACTGAAAATATTCAACACTACCATTTTCAGCCGCTAGATGGCACTTGAGAAGTATGGCATGCCATTGTATCATGTAATAGGTAAAAGTGGTTATTAATGAAACAATCGGCTTGCCATAGACTACCAGCTTCATTTTGCTGTGCCGCCCCGGGGAAATGCAGCTAATTTGACCGTTATAGTGCATTTATTAAGTAAAAGTTAAATTGAGCCATGACTTTACTATAATTTCAAGCAAACAAATAATTGCTTTTAAGTGTTAATCTTGTTAAATTCTTGTTAAAGTCCTCCCATGCACGCTCCCGCATCCGCCATTTGGCTTCCAATCAGTTTTTGGCACAACACCGGCCCACATTTCTGGCCCATATTTTCGGGATTTCAGCGGTGACGTGTAACAAATGCAACGCATCAGCGGTGACGCATAATAGATGTGACGTATATGGCAAAGCGACGTATTTATGGATGTTTCCACTTTGTTAGACATATTTGACTGATGCGGCCTATAGGGCAGTGCGACGGATACGGCGAGTTAGTTTGATATGGCGACCCCTAAAGAATGAGGCAGCCAAAATAAAAAGAAAAAAGTTTGTGCACAGATGTTTTTAACGTGTTCAAAACTCAAGCTACAGGGCAGCATGCCTCTGCAGCACCAAAGTCTATAACCGCCGCAAACGTGAGACACTCTGAATACCATCTGCCAACTAGTCACAGCCCAGTGAGACACCACCCAAAGCAAAGCAAAAATATTAATAAAAAAATCAGCGTCCTAATCACAATTTTTAAACATTTTCTGAACCGCCTGACATAATTCAAAAGAAATAAAGAAATGCATTTGAGTACTGCATTTTTCATGTTCAGAGTTAACAAAAGCTTCTCGAGAAGGTGTTAAAGGACGCGTTGTTTTGTGCTCTCTGTCTGCTCACCGCTGTCAGGTGGCCTCTTCTCGATTATGACTTCCCTGCAGTAAAAGAGAACAGTGATTGATGTTCGTTTTGTCGAGCTGTTAGCAAAGCACTCTTTAGAAAGATTTGAGTTTGGTTTGAAAGCTCGGATCAGTAACCATAGATGGCAATAAAAGCTGAGATGTGTTGGCATTTTTTACCTCTGTGTCAAATTTTTCCATCATTTCTTTCTTTGAGTTTTGAGTTAAAAAACATCAACTCCTGAGCAACAAATTCTGCTTTTCACTAACAGCAGGATACTGTTGTCACGTAATTGGCAGTAGCGTAGTGGCGTAGAAAAGATAATTTGAAATAAACATACTTTTTTAGTATAAATATTTTGATTTTTTTTTTGTACAACACAAAAAAGTGTTATAATTTTGACTGTGTTTAGGTCTATTTTTATTTCAAAATTGCCAAATTTGTATTGATCTTGTAGCTTTCAGAAAGCCACCAGTCTATCAAATAAAAAGCATAAAATAAACTGTTGTTCAGTAGGAGAGTTATCAATAGCTAAATTAGTATTGTTAAAAAAAAAAAATCAGCCATAAACAGATTTATTGTTTCTTCTTTCAGAATTTGTGAGACGGTTCAGTCAACAGGAAAATGAGAATCAATTTCAGCTGGTGGACAGTATAATGTATAACAAATGATTACTTATCATGCAGCTCCAGTTAATCCTGCACAGGTATTCCCTGTGGAGCCAAAAGACAGATGGCGGGAGAGGAAATAGTTCTGCTGAAACCACAGAGTTTCTATAACAGTTACTTTAAAAAAAATAAATAGAAAAGAAAAAAGATCGACTAACAAAGTAATAAAACTAAAATCATTAGTTATCTCCTCACGGACCTTAAAGTATTAAATTTCACTTTTACCTTGTTAAATAGTATAACTTGGCTCTCTTATGTAACGTTGGTAAAATTAAATTGGCCCTGAAGAATTCTCCAAATATCAACTTCGTTACTGGAGAGATGCCAGTGGTTGAAAAAGCTGTATCTAAAAACATTTTTGCATAATGTAGTCTCTGTCAAGCTTTTTTCTGCTTTGTGCTTCATTAAAAGTTGCATTGAAACAAAAACTAAAGAATCCTCCATAGGGCACGGATCAAAATCACGCCTTTTCTCTTGGCCCACTGAAAGTGTTGAGCTTTTTCATTGCATGTGGACAGTTCGTTTCTACATTGCATTGGAGTAGTATTTCCTTATGGAACAGAGCTCTCATCGGGGAAGAGTGCATTAAGGGAGAAATGAATCACGAGAGTTCAAAATGAGCTGAGAATGTGTTATTTAGAGTCTTGCAGCCATTTAAAGAAAACTGTTGTAATTAATGGTTAATTTTGGGAAATGTCCCTGAAACAGAAGTGGCAAATTTATTTATGCTTTAAAAGTAAATTAAGATTTAAAATATATATATACACAGTAGTCCCTCACTACTTTGCAGTTTGTTTTTTGTGGACTCGCTCTATCGTGGTTTTTCAAAATAAGATTGGACATGACACACAACTGGCTGATTGAATGATGAGCCGCACGATCGGCATGGGATTTTTATTCAAAATAAATTATTTTAAAGTACTTGGCACTTGCTGCACGTTTGTGCAGCCCACACTGCAGGATAAGCTTCCTCCTGCAGCTGAACAACTGTTCTTGTGCAGATCGGAGAAGTGGGCGTGGCCAAGAACACGTGCAGGTGGCTGAGAGCAGCGGAGGCAGAGAGAGAGAAATCAATACATTCTGTGCTCTATTAGAGCATTTAGAGTTTAGAAACATTGTTTAGAATATTGCAAGAGTGGGGGAAACGTTTAGAACACCTTTACACACACACACACACGTATATATGTACATACAAAAATAAACGTATACTTTCTACTTGTACTAGTATCCCTTCTTTGCGGTTTTTCACTTATCGCGGGGCTTCAGGATACGGATCCCCCGCGATAAACGAGGGACTACTGTATTTGCAAACCTTGAGCCTTTTTGAATTTGTAAATGACACATTGTTTTCTCCCAATCACAACCTTAAAGGAGCCAGAATTCTCTAATGTTTAACAGAGAAGAGCGAGACGCTTGCAGAGAGGGGCAGGGCTCGTACAAAACAAGGTACAGTAGTGTACAGGCAAGAAGAGCAAGAGAGTTAGTTGTTGTCTGTCTCACTTTTCCTTAGAAGTAGTTCCATAAGGACCTTGGTTTGTTTGTTTCACGCCACTCACCGTGATGTCCATTTGTCAGCTGCTGTTGATGTTGCTTGGTGATCACATTCTGTACTGGCATTTCTCTTATTTCTTGCATGCACGTCTCACACCGGCTTCATATCCATCTCTCCACCTGTGTGTAGAAACATAGCAAAGCAGGCATTCCTAGAGACTTTGCAGGACAACCTCATTGAGATGGACATTCTGGCATCTGCACGCCACGATGCCTCGTACAACGACGGGTATGTTGCATGTTTGCTCTCTGGCTCCAGCTACTGTCAGAATCTGCTTTGCCATGCAAACATTTTATGCCTGTGCCGTTTCTCCGTCAAACATCCCCGTTTTGTAACGCTGTCACTCATCGTTGTGTCTCCTGCAGTGCTAGAATCCTTTGCTATATTTGTCCCTTCAGTTTACATGCAGCCACCCCGATTTGCATAAAGTCACATTGTTGGGTTGTGCTGCTTTTGATTAATGTTAAACATGACCGCTTTATGAGGCGCTGCTAGGAAATGATATGTCGGTGATTTGTCTTGATATTTTCCAAATAAATATATAGTCTCTGTGACTTCCCGCATCATGCACTGCAAACTGACATTCCATCACATTCATGTCACTGTCACTCGGGAGCATCTTGTAAACTTGTCAACAAAATGGCCTTGACTATAGTTCCGCTGTCACCGACTCTCTGATAGGCTGATCATGCAGTGTATTGCTACACATGTTTTCCGAGATAGCCAAGCATGCTCTTCAAGGACGAATAATTCTGCTTCTTACAAGTTTCCAACCCTTTTTATATGCTGCATTGCTCTTTTTGAGCTCCTCGACACCAAATGGTTGCAGGGGTTACTCTTTTTATAATGACATGAATGCATAACAAACTATCACTCACTATAAGTTAGTATGTTTATTAAGCATGATCATTGTTAACATATTTGCTTGTATTAAAAACTAATTTGCATTAAACTGGGTGAAACTGTAATTTGTAGATAAATTTGGAATATTTTTTGTGCCAAGCTCAAGCTGAGCAAACAACATTGTGTCATTCATGTGCCAAACTCTCACACACACATGTTCAACCTGTGTCACATGTGTTAAAATAACTACCAGTAGATTATACAATTTAAGTCATGGATTCTAAATTGTAATTTCTTATAATAATAATAATGTATAGGGTTTTTTTTTGTATTCAGTTCTGACTAGTAAGAATGTTACTGTGGCCAGGAAAAAAGTAGTAAATAAATATAGAAGTGGCATTTGAATATATTGTAGAACAAATTGCCATACTTTAACAATGACTGAACAGGCAGAGTTAAGTATGCACATGATGCAGGTTGAGCAAGCGTTTCTGAGAGTTGAGCGTGTGCATGCCAATTCACGTTTGCTTAGCTTATTATTCACTTATCAGAATCTTAGAATCATAAACATGCTCGTGAAAACGTGGGTTTTCCTAAAACTAACAAGCAAAATGTGTTTTCTTAGGCATTTCCTGTTCAAACCAGGTGGAACATCGCCGATGTATTGCACAACTTCCCCGGGGTACCCTCTGACCTCCAGCACGGTGTACTCTCCTCCCCCTCGCCCTTTACCTAGGAACACCTTCTCTCGACCTGCCTTCAGCTTGAAGAAACCCTACAAGCACTGCAACTGGAAATGTGCTGCTCTCAGTGCCATCCTCATCTCAGTAACACTGCTGCTCCTATTAGCCTACTTCATTGGTGAGTCGCTTTCAAAGCTTCCCGCACGCCAGGACGTGTATCTTTACAGAAATGCCCTCAGCCCCATACCTTACACAAATGCAGACACAGGATGCTGAGTTGTGTCCCTCCCATCATTCGTTTTAATAGTGCAGGATCTCGGGGCTTTATGAGCACAGTTATATTGGGACTCATAGATCGACTCCTCTCTCGCACAACTCGTCTGAAAAAAACATTATCATTCATAGATTTGGTTGGTTGAATCTGCAGATGGGCCACCCGGAGTCTCGCTCTTGTGAATAGGCTAGATAGGAAATAGATTAAAAAGACATCAGCCATCACACAGGAGAGGACTGCACGGTTAGAATATTCATCTGACAGAATGTGATTGACCAACTCTCCCAGGTCCCAGCTGGATGAGGAGCATCAACTAAGTTATGCTATTAAATCAGTTCTGCTCAATTTGTCTTCTTTCATCCTCCAAAGGTTGATACTCATATCTGAGCACACAGTCTCCCAATTTGTCTGTGTGATCTACTGGAGTGTTTTTGTCACACAATACATTTGCTAAAAACGCCAAATGTCTAAATACAGAGGGAAGCTGAAATGACATAAAGACTCAACTATTAAAAATGATTTTGTCTCTTTATCAAAAGTTCCATTCCAAGCAAGCAATCCCAACATTTAAACTTATTGTACATAGTTCTGTAGGTTTCTAACACCAGCATTGGTGATGGTGGTTTCCAAATTTGTCTTAACTTTTGGAAGTTTGTGGTACCTGGTGTGGGAAAAGTCAGTCGCTCACTGGGATCCATTTGCTCATGACTCAGTGAAGTTAGAGAGCATCTTGAAAACGTCTTAGAACATTCATAGATTCTCACATTTTTTTGCATACATAGAAAAGGATTGCAATCTTGCCTCGTGGATTTGAAACGCATTCAAAAATGGGATGCAACAGATTTTCCTACAAAACACTTAAACCCTTCTAAAAGTTTGTCATGGCTGCCTCCAACATCACTAGAGCTGTATTTTTGCATCTGCATGAAATCTCGTCCCTCACAGTCAGCATGTCCAAGTCTAAAGAAAATGCAACAATGATGAATAATAATTATAAAAAACCTGGTCCAAATTTGAAGACTGCCCTTCAGGTCAAGTCAATCAACAGTTTTGTTTTCCTTTCACGAAAGTTAGGTATACAGTAGTTCCTCGTTTTCACGAGGGATCTGTACCCTGAAGCCCCGTGATAAGTGAAAAACCACGAAGCATGAATATTAGTACAGTAAGTAGTAGTTTATTTTAGTATTTATATATATATAAAAAGGTGTTTTAAACCCTTCCCACACTCTTGCAGTATTCTAAACAATGTTTCTAAACGCTCTAAAAGATCACAAAATGTCATTATTTCAGCTCTCTGCCTCATCTGCTCTCAGCCAACTGCAAGCGCTCTTGGCCACGCCCACTTCTCCACTCTTCACATAGAACAGCTGATCAGCTGCAGCAGGAAGTTTATCCTGCAGTATGGGCTGTACAGAGGTGCAGCAGGTGCTAAATAATTTTAAATAATTAAATTTAAAATAAAAATTCCATGCCAGTCATGCGACTCATCCATCAATCAGCCAGTTGTGTCATGTCCAATCTTATTTTGAAAAACCGCAATAGAGCGAGTCTGCGATAAATGAACCGTGAAGTAGCGAAATACCACTGTATATACTATATACCTATATACTCTTATACATTATACCTTTTTAGTTACAGTGATAAATAGTGTAGTGAATCATCGTTTCATAGATACAGTATAATAGAGCAGTGAGTTTTCATCGTTGGGTATGATGCAGTTGGTTGGCAACAAAATTATGTGCATGGCCCAGAATACACTTTTACAATAAACTTTTCAAAAACTGTCCACAGAACATGTCCACACGGTCTTGGTCACAAACACTCAGAGTTTAGTAAAACTGTAACAAAAAATGTGTTTATTGTCTTTCAATAAGTTGTTGACTAGTCCCCAACTGTTGCAGCCCAACGAGAAATGACCCAAAGTTTAGATCAGGGGTGTCAAACTCACTTACAAAAGGGGCCAAAATTAAAACCTTTTTAAACTAAGGGCCAATTTTAGGAACTACATTAACTCAAATCAGATACCCAACATCTTTTATTGGTCACAGGTTTATCAACAAGCGTTTGATTGGTCTCATTTGACGTTCTCTGTTTTGCTTTTGACATCATAATCAGAGATTACTGAAAAAAATCAAGAGATAGAAGTATTTTACGTTTCACATATCATCTTGGGGGCCAGATAAGATGTCAACGAGGGCCACATTTGGCCCCCGGGCCTTGAGATTGACACATATGGTTTGAATCATTAAGAACACAGAAATGAAATGAAGTAACAAGGTTTACATTATCACTGCAGTGAGGCCAAAAAGATGCACTTACACTGTAATATTATAATTGCTTAGTTACAATTTTCACCTTTATGATTTGTGATGTTTAAAAAAAAAACTTACAGCACATTTTTCCTAATTAAAGTTCTGTCGGGTATGTTGATGCAAAATTAAAAAAAGGAGTTGATTCACACTTCTATGTAATGTATTTTTTGTTATAACAGTGCATCTGTTTGACTGTGAATACCTTCTTAACATATAAATGGTGTCACTATTGAATTCAGCCTCACACAGATGAAGAAAGAATTTAAATGGCAGAATGATGAGGACATTTCAGTTCATTTGCATGAAGGAAAAGAAAAGGCAGATCCCTTTGCTTGGCCCTCATCAGGGAGATAAATTAATTCTTCTTTCAGAGCATTTGTTATAGATATTCATTGGGCTGTAACAATCATACAAAACTGTTGTTTCTGCTTCACCTTGAGGCCAAACTAACTAAAGTCTGATTATTCATTTTTTTGTCACTATGGTCATTTAAATAGTCATTTGTAATTCAGAACAGTTCTAATTCTAAATAAGAATCAATGGGTTTTTGCATGATGATTACTATGGAATAGTGTTTTTGCATTAATGATGTTTGATTTGACTCGGTTTGGGCATCAGTGCGGTTTGGTTGCTGCAGTAAATATATGGCATGAGTTGTCAGCATGTGATCTGGCCAAAAAAAGAAAAAATCACAGCCCATCACATCCTGACGGTGTCTAATCAGACTTTGTAATTATCCCCTGCAAAGCTCAGACCATCGCCCGGTACGTCACAAGTAAACATGTTGCAGTCCAAACCTCACCTTTAGATTGGAACTTCCAATCAAGAACAAGAACCACGTTTAATTAAAGGCTGATGAGAAAATTCATTTAATTTCAAGTGCAGTTAATTATTGAGGCCTGTAATTGGGAACTCTGGATGAGATGTCTAATAAACCCAATTACGCCTCATGACAGATGTTTTTGACTTCAGCGTGGTTTTCTTTTTTCACAGCTGTGTAAATTGACCCATTTTGAAGTGCGAAAAGGTTGAGAGTTTTTGATGGCACAATTTTCTCTGTGGTTGCTTGCTCATTAGCACATTTGTTATATGGTCCTCATTTTTAAGGTCATCAGTATCCTCCTGTGTTCACTTTCACTCACCGTGGGTATCCAGTCAAGGACAGAAAGGTTGGGCCTTGGAAAAATTTTCACTCTGTGATCCTCCAACCCATAAAGCACTTATCTGCAAAACAAATTTTACACATTTCCCTTTTTACAGGTCTTCAAAACAGTTTTTGTTTAATAATCTAAATGGATTATTTTCAGTTTTGCAATCAGGTTAAAGATTCATGAAAAGGGTTGACCTATTTTTAATTAAACAAAAGGATCCACAAAAAGCCTGCAGCCATTTGTATGCAACTTTTATGTTCCTATTTCTATAGCATATTGTGACATATATTAAAACGGGGGAAAAAATACACAATTTTTGAAACATATTCGCAAACAGCAAAAAAGGATGCATGGCTGTGACCTGTAGTTGATGATAAATAGGATTTTAGTAAAAAACATGGATTAAAAATGGCTGCAGGTTTTTAAAAATTATTTTACTTTCCCTTCTTCAAAAAACGGGTAGTGCTTTAGTGATGTCAGAAATGATAGATTAAAAAAATGAGGTTTAAACTACAGTTCCATGTGCAGTTTCTCTGTTGTTTTAGTGGTTTGTTTAAACTGAAGTTAACCTTTAGATACGTGATGTCTCAAATATTGCTAAATCATTTGAGTTTTTTTTCCGATAGATAATGAAAATCTTGTTTTTAATTATATTTCTGGTCCTGCTTTAAAAACAGCACATATGTTCACCCACATCTTTTATTAATAAAAAAACAGTAGGGTTATCATGTAGGGTTATTATTATTGTATGTTTTAGGCCCCAACTTTAATTTAATAAACTCAATCATAAAAATAAAATCTTACAAGCAGTAAAAACTAACCTCAAATGTTTTGAATGAAAAATATATTAAAGTCCTATACTTGCAACTCATAACAGCTATATTTGTTGTGTACAATGTCATATTTTTTCATTTTCTTTTGTGGTTTTAATGTAGTTTTAATATACCAAAGTCCATGCTCAATAATCCAGGTGAAAAATCCCAACAATGTTCAGTCAGGTCATCTGGACGGTTTCTTTTTTGCTGAGACATTTCATCCTCCATCTAAAGGACTTCATCAGTCCAAGGAACCACAACCAAACTCCAAACAGTACTCTAACCTGGATGAGATAAAAGCATGTAGCAGCTTTTCAGTATCGGTTTTTCTGAGCTTAAGGTGAAACATATGCAGCCTTGCACATGCTGATGATGTGGCAGTTTTGTAACGATGCTGGCCCATTTAGAAGCATTTACTAATTTATTTGTTTTGAATTGTTTGATGCATAATTATCTTTATTAGTCTGAGTAAATTCCGTGTTCGTGAACATTCATTTGGAAAACTAGAGTTATTGTGTGATCATTGGTATCCACTGGTGATGTAGCACACTTCAGAACTATTTATTCAAAGTAAGCTACGAGACATGCCACTTGATGCTGTCATAGCCCATGCTCATTAAATTTTGTGCAGAACTTAAAAGCCATAGGTAAAAAGGAATCTGTCTCAAGGTTTCAGTTTCTTGGGGGTAGTTCCGGAGAGTTTGAGCTTCTTGAAAGGCTCATAGCTCTTGACCAGTAAGATGGGGGGGGGTCTCTTATTTTTCTTCAGTGAGATGAGAACAAATTCTCCTCTCATCATAGCTTCTTTTGAACAGTGCACTAGTTAAAAAGTGCTATGAACAGGCGACAGAAGCACTTACTGCTGCGGCAGATGACCCACGCTCCGACTCCCTCCGACTGGGCTTCGAAGTCTTCAACTACAGTACCTTTGTTCCATAATTGGCACATGGCATGACCCGACTTCCTGCCAAGAAATAGGCGAAAAGAGGGCTCAACATGTGCTCAGGACAAAACGAACAGTACTAGAAAGTGCAGTATTCCTGACAGGTCAGTAGAATCGCTGGCACTCAGGCGCAGCTTCTTTTTTTTTCTGGCCTTCACATTAGAAGAAGCTTCTTTCTGTTTTGACTTCGCAGCCAGTTTTGGTCAACAGTTGAATGTATAGCAGCGACTGCAAAGTTGCCAAAACAAAATTGCTTTTCTCTGGCTTTCGTCCAGTGGTCTGCATATTATAAATACCGTGACGGCGCTCAGGTAAATCCTTAAAGGACGAGAAGGGGGGGGTGGGGGTTCGACGTTTTCCATTAGAAGTGTCTGGGCAGATGGGATAAAGAATGGATCTCAGAAAGGCGTGATTACTGGAACACTTGGAATGACACCCTGCCTGGTGACTTTGCAATCGTTCAGCAACATACGCTGTCTCTTTTTTCATTTCGTCAGTCAATGTAATGCTACAGATCAAAAGGGATGTCTTTCTGGAGCTTACAAAGTAACAAACAGAGCCATCTGTCACTCCTCTGGTTGCCTTCCACTCACACCATCACTCCTCCGAGCGCTGGACAAGCGCCGAGCAGATGCTGGTGTTGCAGCTGAACTGAAATCATCTTAAAAGTTGTGTTTTTCCCCAAATAAACATGTGCATCAACCTACACATGGATTACACATACATTCTATAAGTTTCCTGTGACTGGATGTTTTGAATGTGCACCACATTCTGGTAGGTTTTAATGAATCAACTGACTGGGAAACAGAATCTAAAACAGGCTACAGCAATCCAAAATATAACAAGTGTATTGGGCTTGTATCAGTCTTTTTTTAGTATCCAGAGCATGTAATTATATATTTATATATATAATAAAAAGTCACTTTTTAGTGTTTCTGATTTTTAGGGACTTGGCTATTTTATTCTTAACTCCCTTCCTAATATTTTAAGTGACGTTTTGCTTTAAAACTTGATAAAAGAGGAAAACGACAATGAGATGAGTACTGTTCTGGAGTACTAAGGTATTGGAGTTTTTGCTTAAATGTAATTCTCAGACTATCTAAATTGATCGATTACAGTCAGATGTGGAGCAACATAAGCTTTTGAATGAAATGTGCACTTTGAGTATCTTGATAACGTAGAAAGGCGCTATATAAATACAGTCCATTTACCATGTACCAAATACCTGTTTTAAATGTGATAAATGTTCAATCAATAGTTATATCCTTTCAGTACTTTTTTGTGTTTTTACTATAAAAAAGAAAAGGAAAAAAAAAAAGGCACAGCATTAAAGAAATCTAAAGATGTACACCCAGCTTTGGTCTACTATTGCCATGTAATTTCACTTTTTAAAATTAAATAGTGTTGTTATTTGAGCTTGAAAAGAACCAACCAAACAAAGAAATGGCTATATTGAGCTTCTGGGTCTTTTCTGCTGACTGTTGCCTTTTGAGTTGCCTTTTGCCTTGCTAAGCTCATCTTGTCCATTCTCTTATTGGTGATCTGTCATGGTCAGCCCCTCCTCCTCCGTCCTGCGCTCTGCTGCCATTGTTCCAAAGGACATTTCTTTTGTCGACCTTGTAAAATATCTTTGTGCTTCTTGTGCTTTGTTCACATTGAACACCCCTGCTACTGTTTATTACGATTTTTCTCTCTGTCCTTTAGTTTTGTAGAGGAGCGTAAAGGTAATAGGGCTGAGGAAATGACAAGACATAGAGTATGGACCATGCCAGAGCTGGCATGGTAAGACAGATGTTGTCCCACGGGCTCAGCATACCATTCATCTAAAGATGTTACTGCTCAGCACTTTTCAGAAAAAAAAGGCCATTAACCATTAAACCCAGTATTGTTTCTAAAACTGTTTACTTCCTGTTCCTCTCTCTCTCACAGTTCTAAAATATGTCACTTTGGCTGTTTTCATAGGTAAAATATTGTGTGGATGAAAGTTTATTATTTTCTGAATTGATTGTTTGGTTTTCATGACTTTACAATGAGTACCTTAAAACTATGTTAACACAGCTTAGTTATGAGTTGTTGTTTTTTTTCTTTTTTAATTTAATATTTCAGCCATTCATCTGTTGGGGTTAAACTGGCACCTGCAGCCAATGCAAAGACAGATGTACCAGCTGTCAGAAGACAATACAAGTGGCCTAACATTTCCTACAGACCAGAGTTTGCGCCCGCTAGGCAACACAGGGCTGGAATTACCTGATCGGAGGGGAAAAGATGACAGTAAGTGCATTTGTTTAATTTTTTTAAATCATATCTATATTTTTTCAAGCTAAAATATGCCATAAATAAAACCAAAGTATTAAATCTGCTGTTTCTGAGTGCCTTCCATATCCTATTTATCCTACTTTACCAAAGTTTTTCAAATCTTAGTTTACAGATGGCATTTCAAAGCTTTTGCATCGTTGTAATAATTTTGTCACCCAGCGTCACATTGCATTCGCCTGTCTCCATGGTATCCAAAAAGATCTGCATTGTAATCCCATAAAAGTTGTTGTAAGTGGGGAAAGTGTTATTTGTTCCTGGAGGGAGAATGTGGGGCAGCTTAAGGGATGGAGTATCCAGGGGCTGGAAGGGGATTAGCCACTCTCTTTTCCTTCAGAACGGATGTGATTCTTTCATCTTCCAGCTTGGGCTGCCTTTCCTGGCAGTCAAAGAAAGGTTGTGCTCACCCAATGGTACCAACTGCTCAGCTAAAATTAAAAAAAATGGGAAAGTTTCTTTTTATTTTTGAAGGAATGCTTGCAGATTAAACCATGTGATTTGCCGCTGGCAGACTACAATAGATTGAAGATGAGGTTATTACCATATAGATGAATCCAGGAGTTGTCTTTTTCATTTACCAGACTGCAAAAAGTGTGTTTAGCCAACAACAAGTATGACTACGGCAGAGCAGTGTGCACAGCAGCTGTTGGTGATAGCAAATCAATAGCTATAGTTTGTTTTGAATAGTTTCATTTTGCAAAGCCACCAGAAACAATGCCTGCCTAACTAATGTTTTCTCAAGACGATGCGAATGTGTGTTCTTTGTAGCTCGCTCGCTTTGACGCCACCAGAGCGTCGTGCTGCAGTTTAGCTTGCAAAACAAAAAATATTTAACTACAAGGCTCATTATCACTGGTCACGCCTTATAATTTATTTAAACAGCCTGATGAGCGCACCATTAATGCGCTTCATAAATATGTGCACGCACACATACACAACATGTGGAAAATGAGCCTGTGGGCTGCAGCATTATGTAAAGCCCTGATCTGGGAGATGGGGAGGGTGCCCTGTCTTCTCTGATAAACTCCATTGTCACTGATGGACTTTTGAGAGGACTTCCATCTGGTGTGCCACGTGTAACCTAAAGCCGTGCCTGCTTCCCAGTCCTGGGGGTAGTTTGTATGGATGTGTGCAAAGCCCGACATTGCTGCTGAAATTAGCTCATCTACACTGTCAAACAGATGTTGCCATTTCCGCTGAGTCCAATAGAAGTTGTATTATGGAGCATATGGGTGATTTCTGCTGGTAAACGTGCTAATACCTGAGCAGGTAGTGGCAACAGAATTCCCTCTCCTATAATCACTATTTTCACTTTACTGCTTTTACTTCTCACTATTGCAGCATTAGGACGGTTATTTTTTGGCAGTTTTTTTTTTTTTTTTTTTAATCTTGCCAAGTCCACACCATATGTTCAATGTGTTACTCTCAACAACAGCAACCCTGCGTTTTTGCCAGGTTATTAATGGGTTGCCTGTGTTTTAATAAAACAAATGAAACTGTTTAATACTTCTAGAAACACATTTATTTTAATCATTTCAGTATAAATTAACATCAGTTTAATAGTGTTCACCTATGTCTTTAACAGTGTAACTAGTAATTGCTGGCAGTGGTCAGAGGGATCATTCCTTATATTTTTTTTTTCTCTGACTGACAGAATTGTGATTAAATGTCTGTGATATGGTCAGACTCGTGCCTCAGCAGACCAACTCCCCGTGCCCTTCCACTTGTTGGATTAATGATGTGATCTCTTTGACCGATTAACTCCATGTGCAATGCAGGCAAATTGGACAGCTTGTTCCCAGATGACAGCTATATAGATATGGGAGAGATTGACGTGGGACGCAAGGTCGCTCAGCAGATTCCTCCTGGTATCTTCTGGAGGTCCCAGGTCTTCATCGATCATCCCATGTACCTGAAATTCAATGTGTCACTCAGCAAAGATGCCTTAGTGGGAATATATGGAAGAAGAGGCCTTCCTCCGTCACACACTCAGGTGAAAGCCATATACATATTGCTGACGGTATATGTACAGTGCATGTGTTACAATCTGCTTTTGCTTGTTTGTTTTATAAAAGTCAAGCTTGAAAGCTAAACAGTTGTGTTCTATACACCACATTTCATGTTTTTTTATGGAAAAGATAGTGGCAACTTGTAAATGGGATGCTTTATGAAACAGTTTACAGTCACATAGCGTAAAATTCTGCTTTTTTTATTCCGTATTTTTCTTTTACAAAGAAAGGAATTTGGGAAAGAGTTTAAAAAGAAATCCATGAATAAGTGTGTCCTGAATACAAACTATAAAATTCTCTATTGTATTATGATTTCCCTTTTTTTGTTGCAGAAAGGATTTATTGCAGATTTTTTCTCTGGTTCAATATCATCAATGAATCATACAAGTAGATTGGGCTCCTGGGCCAAGAGAAGAAGATTTTTCTTTTCGCTAATTTCCCATCTACATGAAGCACAGAATAAAATATATCATGTTATTAATGATTTCTGGCTGCTTGCTTCACAGACTTTCTGCTGTAAATGCAACAGTGGTTCAACAAATTGTACATAGTGTAACATTTGTTTGCACTGATGTCCGGTGTGATTATTTTTTTTAGCTGAAAAATCAGGATTGTCTTTTTTTTCCTCTTTTTTTAGTTCAAAACATCTAGAGTAGAAAACTCATCAAGTGACTGATTACATACAAGTCCAACTTCCTATCCTCTTACACGGAGAATAAAAAGCTGCCTCATTGGTATTCATTGGCTCACTGCTGCTATGAAGCAAATCAGTGCAGATGTTATTTGGTAAACACTAACTTTACATTTAATTTCCCCAGCTTTCCATTTTTGAGTTTAATAATTTCAAACAAGACTTTCAAATAAGATATTTGCACTGTGAAATTATCACAAGCTGTCAAGCCAAGATGTGTTGAGACTTAACTCAAGCTTCTCCAGAATGATGAGTTATTCATGCAGACCAGATGATGCTCTGCTGCAAAGAGGCCTGAAAGCACTCAAGTCTCGTGTGTCATTCTTAATGGTCCATCCATCAGTCATTCTCACTTTCTGTGCATCTGTCTGCAGTTTGACTTTGTGGAGCTTTTGGATGGGCGGCGACTCTTGGCCCAAGATATTCACAGTCTGGAGGGGCCTGTGGCTATGCAACGGAGTCTCGTACCAATCACCACACACGACACAGGCTTTATCCAGTACATGGACTCAGGCATCTGGCACCTGGCCATCTACAACGATGGAAAAGAAACCGAGGCTGTTTCCTTTCTTACCACTGCCGTAGGTGAGTGCCATATGCATGTCCTGCTAATGAAGCATTTGATATGGTGCTTTGCCACTGTCTCAACTCTGGTTCCGCACCACACGGCACCAGTTAAGAGTCTGCACACTGCCTCTGCTGGTACCCATCCACACTCCACTGGGTGTATGGGACTACCTTGTTCACTGTTCCAGGCAAAATGCTCCGAGCTGACGATCTTGACGTAAACAGACAGCATCCGTTGATCGGCCAGCGGAGATACATAACTGGATGACCTACACAGAAAAACTGCAAACAACATATGAACCTCCATTTCCTCTCTGATTATGCTGAGTGTGTATTGGTTTTGCTAGTTTCTGGTATGGAAGCTCCAAAAATAGTTTGGGGACCAATGACGAGGTACAAACCTTCCTAACTTTATCGACCAATGTTATGATTTAGCACAAGTTGGACAACGCCATGAGAAATGAGTACATTTACAGAGATATTGGAGAATATTGGTTAGCATGGCTACACTCTGATTTATAAGCAGTGCCGGGTTATGCTACAGAAATTGAAGTCTGATTAAGAGCAGTTATGGACAGCAACGGGTGGAGGTGCTCGATCACAATTACCTGTTACGATACCGCCCATTTTGCATTGACAATCCCACCCACAGAGCAGAGAAACAAGTCAGTGAGAAATTATCATACACCTGAAAATAACTGATAAGTTGAGAGCCAAGTGAAGTCACACTTATCAATGGCAAAGCAGCTATAGTGATCCCTAATCTCTATAATGCCAGCCAGTAGCACCCGGCGGTAAGTGGTGCAGAATTGGGGCAAAAGTAAAAAAAAAAAAGGTAGATTTCAAGAGCAGGGGAAAGTGCAGGTTAATCAAGGTGAAACTGAATATTACAAAATCAGGACATCAGCCTTGCTACCGAGAAGGGCATTGAGAGATCATAATATCCTCATTAGCCTGAGTGTCTTCCAAGTGAATCAGGGGGTCCAGCTTCTGGGAAACATTTGCATACAATTCAAAGTATGATTGTACCCTCCTGCTAGTCCCATATTTTGATCACGGTTTGCTCCAATTTCCATCTGCTTTCCATATATCAGAGCGGCAAAGATATTTCTCTCCTCTGACTGTTACAGAGCGTCACACAACTGTGTTTCACACATATGTCCTCCTTTGTGGAGGTGACTTCGTTTTGTACAGTGCTCTTTGTTCTCCCTTAAGCGCCTTTGATTAGCACTGCTGTATCAAGCAAGGTGTGAGAGGGCCTGAGGTGTCGACTTTCACAGGGATGGCAGCTGGGAGCTGTTCTCACATGCTCTTTAATTAAAAGCTCCTGGGCCAGAGTCCATATGTGACAGTGGCTGTGCCAGGCAGCAGATCGATGAGAGGCTGTCCTCAACACCAAGTGGAGACAGGCAAGAGATGCACTCCCGCCCCCCTGCTGTGCCAACAACAGTTGTAATTCAATACTTAAAATATGATATGACACAAGAAGGAGGAAAGTGAGAGCAGCATGTTTACCTTTGCCTATTTCTTCTCGACTGGGTGTGCATGAGCTCCCCTGTGGTTTGCATCAGAGAAAACATGTCTTGATAAGGTATTCTGCGCAAGCAGATGGGGTGGGGCAGAGTTAGTCAGAGCAAGAATTCTGCCTCTGTTCATTTGTATCGGAGCTGATCTGCTCACAGGAGCTCAGAGGAAGGCAGAGGGGGTCCTTCTAAAATGGGTCACCGGTTAAGTGCCCTTCAGCAGAAATTGAATCCACCAACTGCCTGAATTGTATTGAGCTGTGGAGGGATGGAGTTGACCTTCAAATAGAGCAGCCTAGGTATAGGAATATATGTGAGCAATATCCAAAGCAGGCAGGCTGAAACACAAGCAGCTTTATTTAAAAGACACTTGCAGTAATAGAATTTTAGTGTTTCTGGCAGTGGTGAAAGGAACTGTGTGCCATTTTACTATCATTAGGGTACCTTTTGCTCTGTGCATGCACTAAATGTAAAGTTTTGTTACTGGCTATTACCATGACACAGTTATGACACAGTTTATTCAACAGATAGAGCACACTAATCTGGGTTGTTCAAGCTTCATGGCAATATGAAACGTGTTCTACTGAATGTTTTGTACTGCAACCCTCTGGAGCATGAAGCTCTATGTCCTTGCTGCCTAATGCCAGACATGTTTCAGCCCAGGTGTGGAGGCAAAGCAAAAGGAAGTAAATGCCCAGCAATGAAGTCTCAACCTGTATCCTGTCTCACTTCACTGCTGAGGTTTCTTTTTGTCCATGGCAGACCATCATTCAAAGGTGTTGAGCATCTTCTGAGAGCATAGCAAGTTGCTGATTAAACCAGCCTTCTGCACGGTATTCCGTCCTCACAGAATGGTGAGACTCACAATAGTTAGCTCCCCTGATATGAAGAGTAATGAATTTCAATGAAGCTCTGCTTGAATCCATGATTTATGCGTTGGCCTATGTCGAGTGTGTGTCAGAGAGATATTCACAACCTCCCATCTTTGCTCTCAGAGGAGTTGCAGGCGATGGACATGGGCAGTGTAGTTTGCTAAACTGTGTCAGCTTTCAGAATCAGAGCACCGGAGTTCACCATTACTCAGTTGTGTCTGACAGGCTGCGTGTTGTTCTGCAAAGACATATGCATAATAGATTAAGAATAATTATGCATAATAAATGTACCTAGGCTGCCTTCAAGCCTACAGGGATATTCCAGTCAAATTTAAAGTAACGTTCTAAAAGTTATCAATAGTTAGTAACTTATCTGCTGTGACCTCGGCCACAGAGCAGAGTATGGAAGAGAGACAAAGTCTTTGCTAGGCTTATAGATAGCCAAATGAGTGCCAGTTTTCAAGCTTATAAAACAACTCCACATATACAAAGTTCATCCATGCACCCCACAAATACATTTTCATTGTAAAACAGTTTCTAAAACTGATTTATTTTGATAGCTTTTATTTAGCTAGCCATTAGCATAGACTGAGCAAAGACTTTTGTGTCTTTACCATATTCTGGACTGATGTCATGGCGGATGGATGGATGGATGGATGGATGGATGGAT